ACGGACCCAGCTCAAGCTGCTCAAATGTGCTTCCTGATCAGCGGCACAAACCTGTGAAAGCAACTGTTGTCTGATGAAGATGAACAAAAACACCACAGGAGTCTCACTGATGAACTCCTCCCTCAACTCAGAGATAGAGGGAGATGCAGGTCTCTGACTTGAACAGATGAGCATGAGAGTGGGGCAAACTGAGCTCGAGTTATTGTGTTTTTATGCACTTTTTCTGCTCCAAAGCATGAACGTTAATAGCCAAGATATTGCATTTTCATTTAGGAGAATGTACACCTGTGTAACAATCCAGCTGCTACACCAGAGCCAGCATCTGCAGAGGCATCAGCTTCTTTCAGCCAGCTGCTGGCAGCCTCTGCCACTTTACACCAGGTACTGAATAAATATAAATGTATTTACTCCTTCAGCATCTACACTGCACCTACAACCTACTACCTACCAGCACCTACCAGCAGACAGCACCCACTGCCACCCCAGAGCTGGTACAAACATCTCATTCCACAGAATTAGAATATAATGCATTATATGGCACTTGTGTGTTAATTCTATCTCCACCCTCAATGTTTTTTTCCAGGAAGGAAAAAAAGGGGTGACACACATCTGGCTGCTGTGAATTCTGGAAAGCCCAGGGGTTAAACCGTTAATCCCTCTGCCTCCTGTTCAGCCTCTGACCCGAGCATCTCCTGCACGGCAGCCAGACTGTATCTGTTCGAACGCTCGCAAAAACGAGCTGGTTCCAAAGGTTCTTACAGTCCGAAAGCGCCTAATGTGGCTGCGAGGAAACAAAGCCACCAACTGCACCACCATGCAGCCCAGGTTCATTGCCTTCAGCTTCGATTCAATTCTGTTTATTTATAAAACACCAAATCACGGCAAGAGTCATCTCATGGCACTTCACAAAGTAAACATTCCAAGGAACCCAGCAGATTGCATCAAGTCATGGTTGAATGATGACAGAGAACTGCAGGATGGACTAGAGGGTGATGAAATGCTTTGGCAAAATAGGAGGAACAGAAGAGGAGGAGGTGTTGCTATATTTGTTATATCGTGTTTTAAATGTAAACTTGTTAACAATATGACTGCTGTGGTGGATAACTTGATGGAATGTTTAACTCGAAATTCAAGTTGAAAGATCTAAAAACATATTAGTTAGCTGTATTTATTGTACACCTGCATCGTGCATGGATCAGTTTATCAGAGAAATTTCTGTAATACTGGAAAAACATAAAGAAAAGACGACTTTATTTTGTGGTGATTTTAATATTGATTTATTGAAGGCAAATGATCACAATAAGACTTCTGAATTTACTGATACAATGTTTAGATTTTGGGTTCTATCCATTGATTCTAAAGCCCAGCAGAATAAAGATGGGTAGTGCCACTTTGATTGACAACGTTTTTTATAATGAGATAGATGGTCAGATGCACAGTGGACTGTTAGTCACGGATGTAAGTGATCACTTGCCTGTCTTTTCAGTGCATGAAATGAATGATCAATTTAATATTCAAGAGGAAAAGATTGATTACATTGGTAGAATAAAAACACCAGAACACATTGCAGCTTTTAAAAGAGAATTAGAAAATGATGACTGGAAAAAGGTTTATGTGGAAGACACTAATGATGCATATAATTCATTTCTCGAAATATTTTTGTCAGTCTATGACAGCCATTGTCCACTAAAAAAGTTTTCTGAAAAACTCAAAAAGAAAAAAACCCTGGTTGAAAAAGGTCTGCCTGTAAAAGGAAAAATAAGTTATATAAGATTTTTTTTGACAAATAAAACTAAGGAAAATGAAGACAAATATAAGAAATATAGAAACAGTTATGAAAAGAAAAGTTATTATGAACAGCTGCTTCAAAAATCTAAAAATAATATAAATTCTACCTGGAGTGTACTTAATAAGATAATAAAAAATCAGAATAATATAAGTTTTCCAACATGTATTGTAAAGGAAGGTAATGTAGTGATTGAGAATATTGAGAGTATAGTCAACGAATTTAATGATTACTTTGTTAATGTAGGTCCCAATTTGGCAAAAGAGATTTCTGTACCAGGAAGACATGATGACAAATTTTTAAACTTTGCTTCTTATAAATGTAACTCAATGTTTCTTGGAGGAGTCTGTGAGAGTGATATTATAGATGTGGTGAGTAAATTTAAGTGTAAAAAATCCATGGATTGTGACGGCCTTGATATGTCATTAATTAAAGAAATTCTTCATAGTATCCTTCAGCCAGTAGCTCAGGTGGTAGAGCGGGCTGCCTCATGATCGGAGGGTCATGGGTTCGATTCCAGCTCCCGCCAGGGGTATCCTGCTGTTGTGTCCTTGGGCAAGACACTTCACCCAACTTGCCTGTGGTAGTGGTGGTCAGAGGGGCCGACGGCGCCTAATGGCAGCCTCGCCTCTGTCAGACCTCCCCAGGGTGGCTGTGGCTACAAGTAGCTTACCATCACTAGCAGTGTCTGAATGTGAGAGTGTGTGAAAGCGTCTTTGGGTGTCTAGAAAAGCGCTATATAAGTTCAATGCATTATTATTATTATTAACTTAAATTTGTAACAAATAATTTCAAACCGGAATTTTTCCAGATAAAATGAAAATTGCCAAAGTGATCCCATTATATAAAAATGGAGATAAACAGGTTGTGTCAAATTATAGACCAGTATCTTTACTGCCTACATTTTTAAAGATTCTTGAAAAACTATTTGAAAACAGACTAAATTATTTTCTTGAAAAATATGATTTATTAAATGACCATCAGTATGGGTTCAGAAGAAATCGCTTAACATCTCTAGCAGTGATGGAATTTATTGAAAATATTGCAACAATTGTGGATAAAAAACAGATTGGAATAGGTGTGTTCATTGATTTACGCAAAGCCTTCGATATGATAGATCATTCTTTACTGTTACAGAAATGTGAAAGATTTGGTTTAAGAGGTGTTGTACAACTTTGGTTAAATAGTTTCTTGGAAAGCAGGTTCCAATATGTGAGTATTAATAATATGAAATCTAAACTTAGAAAAGTAACTTGTGGAGTTCCGCAAGGATCGGTGTTGGGACCTAAGCTATTTTTACTTTATACAGTATAAATGATATTTGTACAGCTACTGATATTTTAAAATATGTGATGTTTGCTGATGATACAAACTTATTTCGTTCTGGGGATAACATAAAGGACTTACTGAAAACAGTGGAGACAGAATTGATTAAGTTAAATAGATGGTTTTTATTTAATAAACTATCACTGAATGAAAGTAAAACAAAATGTATGTTGTTTGGAGTTATTAAGAGTAATATTGAAGTACAATTGAATTTACATAATGTTGAAATTGAAAGAGTATATGAGACTAAATTATTAAAAGTAATAATTGATGATACACTGTGTTGGAATTCTCACATAGGTCATGTGAAACAGAAATTATCTAAGTCTATTTCTGTTCTTTATAAAACAAGAGATTTATTGCACAAGAGCTGCCTTTATTTACTGTACACTTCCCTTTGTTTGCCTTATATGAGTTATTGTATGGAAATTTGGGGGAAAACATACAAAACATATTTAGATTCGATTTTTTTTATTGCAAAAAAGAGCTATGAGAATAATAAATAAAGCTGGAGATAGGGAGTCCACAAACCATTTTTTGTAGGATCCTCTATGTTAAAATTTAAGGACATTATATATCTTAAAACTTTAGAAACGATGTATAGAGTGGTGAAGTAGAATGTTCCAATTTGTATTTTAAGTATGTTTAAACTAAGAGATGGAAAATATGATTTGAGGGGGTCTTATATGTTTGAAATACCTAAAGTGAGAACTAATGCTAAGTATGGATGTGTGTCGGTTTTGGGAGTGAAGTTATGGAATTGACTTAATGATGAACTGAAGATGTGTTATTTGTCATTTTTCAAGAAAAATTTAAAAATTTGCATCTTCCAAAGTTATAGAAACTTAGTTTGATGTCTAACCTTGTGTTGATTTCATTTCTTGATTTATCGCTGATTTTTCTTTAAAATGTTATATTTTACATCTTATCTATCAGCCCTACTTTTGTTTTGTTCTTTTCTCTCCTGGCTCAGTATAAGCAGCCATCCTCCACGACTCACTGGGGATGGAGAAGACAGGGCAGACACACGCACACACACACACACACACACACACGCACACACGCACACACGCACACACACACACACACACACACACACACACACACACACACACACACACACACACACACACACACACACACACACACACACACACACAAAACATATTTACCAAGTAGTGTTTCTATAGCTACATTGTGATTTCTTAGTACATATTCTATTTAGTAAGAGACAAACTTTATTGTCTAAATGTCATCTCTGCTTTAAAGGAGACATAACATGCTTTTAAGTTATTCCTTTTTACATCTAAATCCTTCAGTTGGGGTCTAAATACAGTGGAACTGCAGTTCTTTGGTCTGATTTCCTCATTATTGTTGCTCTACAGACCCTCATCTACCCCTGTTCTGAGGAGAGTCTTGAGAACGAGCCGTTTTTGGGTACTGTCTCTTTAAACTGGAGGAGGAGCTGTAAACTCCGTCCCCCTCCATAGTGCAGACCTGTACTCTCCTCCCCCAGTCGGACTTTGTAGTTCTATAGAGAAATCATTATTTAGCATAGCAGATTTAGCATAGCATATTAGCATTTTTAAAACATGTGGGGAGAGTAGTTCATCAAGCTGTTTCAAGGCTGCTAACTCTCTCATGCATTTGTCTGTAGTCACTCACACACACCCGTCACGGCCGACGGAGGAACAAGCAGCAGGCACACGCGCGCGCACACACACACTTACACACACACACACACAAGGAATGCTGCTTGCTTATTTATTTCTATAAAAATGTTTTAAAAAATGATACAGCTCATTAAAACACCATTAAAAGAATACATTTTATTAAGATCTCTATCTATACATACATATAATTATAAATAATTTTATAAGTAGTCTTATTTTATATTGGGTGTCTTAATGGCTGAAAATGGATAAAAAGCAGTTACATTTTAATTTAAAGATTTGAGATTCTAGTCAAAAATAAAGAACATTCCTCCAAATGTTCTTTAATGTGATCATTATACTTCTAATGCTTACAACTTTGTTTTTATTGTCTGCAATGCGTAGCCTATATCTTTATTAAATGTGTTTAGCTGTAAAGTGGTAATTCTCTCTAATGTGTACAGAGAGGTGGACATCAGTGCTGCAGTGAAATTCCCAAGATCAGTCTGCTTTGCTAACAAATATAGTTAAATCTTACCTGCATTCTAAATAAATACCGTTAGGTGAAAACATCAGTAGGCATTGAGTTATTGATAAAATCCCTAACAGCCAGAATGGAAGAAGAGCATGCTGGGTCATCCTGGATCTGAGCCTGTTCTGTGTATTTACCTACAGGATGCAATAAATGTCTACAAGGCGGAGTTTGGACCATTACATCTAAAAGAAAACATACAATCAGTGATTTTTTTAAATTGTTTACATTAATATACAAATTTTCTAAGTATTAACCTCACAGCAAATGAGTAGAACAATATAATAAACAGGCTTTAGTAGTTAAACAGGCGTTGTGCACACAGGTAATTTGTGTCTCGGTGCTGGTGGTATCTAGGTCTCAGAGTTCCTGTCCTCCTGCCGTCTTCTGTTGTCCTCAGGATACGGATTGATGTTTCCTGGTGATGAGGGAGGGGCAGTATGTGGGCTTCAAACTGGTCCTGGATAACAGTGGGAGACCTCCGTTGTCTGAATACTGAGACCAGAGAGTTGGTGAGATGCAGATCTTCTCTACCTCATCTAAAAACGGAGTTGGTTCAGGGAAAACTTTTCCAAAGACCAGTTCCATGATGTCATCGTCATATTCTGCAATGATAGACAATAACTTTAATGACATATTTTGTTTACAAGCAGCTTTAGGAAAGTTGTTTCTTTAGCTTTCATGTTTATAGTCACGTTTGTGTTTGTTTACAAGTTCACTTTGCTGCAGTGACTTCATATTCTTACAAATGTAATAAAATAGTGACACTAAAATTATACAAATGATTCCTTATGAAAGGAAGCTCATTAGAGAGCAGTGCAGACAGACTTACTACATGCTGCAGCTGTTTTTGTAGGCCAGCTGCTGCTGAATTTGGGGAAAGTTATTCTGCACACATCCAGATCAGATGGTCGATTACAGAAAATAATGTAATTCAATAATTTCTAAACAGATTAAACAAGTAAAACATCAAATAAATCACTCTGCTGTCATCAGACGGAGTGATTCAGGGGGTGAGGTGTTCTTAATGATGAGGGTGGCTGAGGTGTGTCATCACTCACTTTGGTCTGGTCCAGCTACCATCTCTTTACTGGTGGGTCTCCTTCCTCAGTAGGTGACGTGAAACGCCAACATCTGAACGTTCTGTGTTCCTTAGAGGAGAAGAAAAGTAACATTAGCAAGCTGGCTAAATTATTTTTTACTAGCATCTCAAGGACTTGGAGAAGCAGATCTTCACTTACCTAAACATCAGACCAGTTTGTCCCAGCTGAGCTCATCAGGGCGTTAGTCTGACAGCCTGTCAGTGAAACACGGCTCCAGTCTTCTGGATGTTGACTCTAAAAAGCAAAGGAGCATTTTTACTTTTGTTTTAATTATTTTACAGCCGATTTTATCAGCTTTCCGACGCTCACGCTCATACAGACGGTGAGCTTTGCTGCGTCTGACTGATAAAGTTTTTATATCTGCAGTGAGACAAAAAACTAACCTCACTCCACTCAGAGATTGTTCTTTAAAACTATTAAATCCACTGTGTTGACGCACTTTAATGACTTTGTCACGCTGCATTTTAGCTGATATGGGACTTTATTTACTGGATGCTAAGATTACATCACACTCAGGTAGAATAACACACAGACTCTCTGCTGTTACAATCAGTGGGAGGTTATCATCTGGTGTAAAAGAAGGCGTTGATCAGAAATCACGTTTTATTCCACGAAAATCAGCCAAATCCACATTAATCTGGGTGCTAACTTTACTAGCATACTGTGCTAGCGATAGCAAGCCGGATGCTAACGCTTTAGTGCTGCTAATGCCCGTAAATCTAAAGTAAAGTTTGTCGACATTTTAGAGTGATATGAAGCTTACCGCTCTGCTGCTGTGTCCCGGTGCTGCCACATTCAGATGCAAATGACTCCTTTTAGATAGATGAAGCCCTCAGTACTTACTAGCCTGGAGACACGAACGAACGAACCACGCGCGCACACACACAAACACACTACTTTTTCTTCTGTGTTTTTTTAGCAGTAGTGTCATCAGCTCCTGGGTTTAAATACTGCCACACCACCCTTCCTTAAAACGAGGAACAGTTTTGAGCTGTGTGTGGCTAAAATAACCAGACATTCTGCATTTTTCCAATAGGACTACAAAAAATCTTAGCGAGAAGAAAAAATGGCAGATTGGCTCTGTGTTTTGCCGAGGGCCATTACCATATTTGGTAGTTATCCTGACTAAATTAATTACTGATGTAATAGATAATGTAAAAACTGAACGGGTGGACAAATATGCCCAAAACTTAATTATTAAATATCTAAATAGCAACTCCAGTGAATAATATAAGCCTTTTTGCTCACTTAGACACTTAAAATGTGAAACACACTGTGTTAATGGATAAAAAAAAGTGGGTTTTTCATGTTATGTCTCCTTTAAAGAAAGCTACTGATTTCCACTTTGAATACATTTATTCAGACCAGGCATGTCCTCCTAAAAATGACACATTTCCACAAGTCATCACCAGAAAAACAAAAATTCACCTTCAACCCACTCAGTCTTCTTTCAGCCAGGTGAAACATTGGGACCCACACAGATTTAAGCACTCGTAAAGCACATAAAGTCTCGTAAAACACCCTAAACGGTTATAAAAGTAAGATTGGAATTTCTATCATCAGTCAGTCATCGGTGGCCAGCTTCACTCACAAGCTCACAAATTTTATTTCACAGAGACATTAGCTGACTCCTCATGTGCACTTGATAGTATTACAGCTCAGCAGATGATAGCTTTTTTTAATCATTCACTTTCTATCAGATATAAAAATTAACTCTCCAAAGATGGAACAGATACTATAAAGTGACTTCAACCATTCAGAGTTCGTACAGAGGCAACATCGCACGGATCGGACAGTTTAGCACCAGAAATCTCACTTGACTGATTACTCCTACACGAGGAAGGAGGCAGTGTTTTCAGAACTGAAACCAATTAATGCCACTACTTTATGTTGCATAAAATCCAAAAACACACTGTAAAGAAAAATAACTTCTCTTCTGCAGTACTACAACTCAGTCCATTCAAATTGTGGTAGCAACGCCAGAAAAATACTATGTACTACTTTGATAACTACTTTACTTTTGGCTACTTCCAGCAGGAACATGTCACAAAGCTCAGATCACCTGAAACTGGTTCCATAAATGTGATGATGGGTTACAGCCTCCACAGTCACCAGACCTCAATCCAGTGCAGGATCTGTAGGATGTGGTGGAACGAGACATTAACATCATGGATGGAGCTGTGTGATGATGTCGACATCTTGTTTGATCCATGAAATGAAAAATTAAAGCAGAGGAAAAAAGGGGGGCCATAACTGGTATTTGTCAGGTGTATCTGTGGTCCATAGCGTGATGTTATCAAGGAGAGGAGGAGCAATTAAAATGACTACAAATTACAAGTTGCAGAATCTCTTCTCCCCCAGTGTAGCTGCCAATGACCAAATGGCCAGATTCATAGTGGTTTTCTCCAAGTTAAATGCTCCTTCTGTTGTCCTGGAAGAAGGATTTGAAACTTGCTAAACTCACAGCCATTTTTCTTCTCCGTGTCTGGTTTGACGACATCAATTTGGTGAGACGAGCATTTGTAGCTCGTATCATCTTTTCCCACAAAACCTAGAAAACCTTTGCCACCTGTCAAAAATAGGCACTTTCTTGGCATCAAAATGTGTCTTTTAAACTCACGGACATCACATGTGAACTCCATGGCACATATCAAATGGGATCCGAAAATAATTTTTTTCTGCTCATAGACTCCCATTTATGTTTTTGGGCGGTTGGGGACCCATGGTCTGGAAGTACATGCACATAATTCAGGCTCCCTATCCACGTTATTTTTCAGTAGCCTCATAGAGACACGCTGACGCAAGCAACATCTGGTGAGATACCAGAAGTGCCGCATACCCATTGGTTTGTGTTGCGAGGCTTCGTTGCTAGAGTGCTAGGATCTAAAAAAAATATTTACCCGCAAAAAATTTACTCAAACAGCTCGGGAATATGTTGTGTTTTTGCGTGTGTACTAACAACCAGAGAAAATAAAATTTGTAGCTACAAGAGCGATACTTAGAACATGCACCTCCAGAGTGAGAGAGCATGCGGCTGTGAGCGTCGGTATGGTTTTCACCACCTCCCCACAGATGAGGAACCAGAAGGATGTGGCTGAAAAATCTTAACTTGAAAACCACCACAAACTTTATTTGTGCATTCCTTTCATTTTACTGTGAAAACACAGAGAGGAACACCTGCATCCTACGTTATTGTTGGATATGACAAACCTCTGGAGAAGTGACACAGAGTAGTAAAGAGATCTGACAGCAGTCTCACAAGAACAACAACAGTTATTATTTCATGTATACAGTTTTCTGAATAGTTATAATTTAAAGTGCCATTATTAACCTAAAAGTGCCATCTTGCTGTTTGTATTTCACCTGATGTAGAAACTAAAACATAAAACTTAGTGATGAAGGATTTAAGGTTCTGACTCGGCTCTATGTCTGCTTTTAAGATTGTTTATTGCCTCGCTGTTGGATGCGACTGAGTTCAGAAGGTAGCTAAAATGCTACTGTGCGTTAGCTTTGGCCTGACTTTAAGATCGTGCCCCACCTCTCTGCTTCAGTAGCAGTGTTGGGCAAGTTACTTCAAAACTGTAATGCATTATTTATTACTTGTTACCCTCATTTTAAAGTAATTCGTCACATTACAATATTACAGATTTTAAAATGTAAGGCATTACACTACTTTTGCATTACTTTAAGCTACTTTCACCAAAACAACTTCAATATGAATCTGATAATGTGACGCTCAGTGAGCTCATGACATATATGGAAAGTGATGTGGTGTCTGAGCTAGGATTGCTGTTAAAAACAGTCAGATATAATAACAGTGATTTAAAATGATTGTTTATTAAATAAATGCAACAACAATTTGTACTCTCAGCACTCTGCCATCTAATATTAACTGAGCAGGGAGTGAGGTGGTGGGGACTCCAAGCCTATATTTGCCTTGGTCCCCAAATGCCTTGATACGGCCCTGGATGTGGGACTGACTTCTGGGGTGATCTGATTATATCACATGTATAAATATAAAATGCTTATATATTATTGCTTTTCACTGGTAAAAATGTGTATTGAGGATAAATCTACCTACTTTTTTCTTTTTTTTTTCCTGATTTTATTTGAATAATGTCCTGCCCTTTCTCTCTCTAACCTGCATGCTGCATGTTCTCTCCGTCTTCCAGAAAAACTGTAAACTAGATGTCCTACTTTCTAACTAATCGCCCACGGGATCTACCGAACGCAATAAATAAATAAATAAATAAAAACTTAATATGCGCTGCGCTCCAGCAGCAATGAGTTGAAATCACCGGGACACAGATTATGAACTCAGCTGAAAAATACATGAAGTACCAGAGAATATGGGCTGATATGAACGATCACAAACGAATGACTTTGTTTTGGTGGAGCGATTTTGTGAATATAACAGCGGACTCAGGACTCAGCTGGAGTATTTGAGCCATTACCGCTGCGTCCTCTCTGCTTATAGAACGCCCGCAAAGCTGAGTCCATAAATGACGTAATAAATGTGGATACTGGATATTTTTTCAGGCTTCCCGCAATTTGAATTTTTAGGAAACCCACATCTTGATTCTGGGTTTAAAAATACGTTGTAATTACCGCGTTACTGACAATTGTACCGAGTAAATATTACCATTTTCTTTCCCTGTAATGCTTTACATTACCACATTACAGCAAAAAACAATGCATTACAGTAATTAATTACTTTTGTACCACGTTACTCTCAACACTGTTCAGTAGGCAGAAGGAGTGTAACGGTGTCCCGGTTGAGCAGTGACAGCTGGTGTTCATGCATGTTTTCAGTCTCTAAAAGCCCATGGCCATGGGTTCACATTGTCTCAATGTAAACAAACGCGGGACCGGAAGTCACTTGCATCTTTCGCGCAATGCATGATGGGACGCAGGAATAAGGTGGATAGCCTTTGCCCTGCTTTCTGGAAGGAGCTGAAAGCCACGCCTAAAGTAGTCAACAGAGAGATCTAAAACAATAGTTCAATGTGGCGTAAAGATGAATGCTTGGTATTCACTTAGCTCCAATTCACAAAAGATAAATGTTTCTTTATCCCCCCCCCCCCCCCCCCCCTTTCCACATTTCCCTTGAAATTTACAAACTGATGAGTCATCTCTTTGCTGTAGGGGCTGGGGGTGGGGTGGGACTTAGGGGAAATATAAATTATGAAAGATTACCTACTTTATACCATAGAACAGGAACACATAGTCATATTTAAGCATAGTTTAACTTACTTTAAAGAGCAAGTCACCCCCAAATACACTTTTTTGTTGATAATCTATATAAATGAGCGTCTAATCGTTCAGTGGCTTACTACATTGTGACATCATAATTTACCAGCTAACATCATAGTGTACCCTAACCAATTAGCCAATAACGATGGCAGATTTGAATTCAAACACAGTGCAGAGTTTTTACCTGAAGATGGTGCAACACTGACAGTTTTAGGCTGAATATTTCAAATTTTACAAAGATGCATTAAAGTGCCAAATTATTGACTACGTGTGTCCACAGCATGATTAGTCACTCATTTATATAATTTATCAGCAAAAAAAGTTGATTTGGGGTGACTTGCTCATTAAAGATGTGGTTCATGAGTTAAATGATACATTTGTAGCCGTCTCTGGTAGGAATCAGGTAAGTCATTCTCAGGGAACAGAAAGAGCTCAGATGCAGAAAGTACAAGTCAGCAGGAGAAAGTGGCTGAAGACGACAAGCTTTGACTTCTGATTTACTGATATTTGGACATCTCACCTCTGATTAGCTAACAACTCTGACTCTACTACAGATAAGATCATTCTTTATTAGTCCCACAAGTGGCAAATTTGCATCATCACTGCAGACACAAGACAGTACAGGTGCAGAACAGCAGCAAACCTATAAAACAATAGAGTTCAAAAACTTTACCAACAGCAGTACACTGTGGTACAATGATTCCAGCAATCTAGAAATATAAATATAAACATGTAACAGCGTGTTGGGAAATTTTAAGGTCTGTTTATGTATAAGTAAACTCGAACATCCTCCACCATACCATTATGTGACAGTGTGATGTAGTTCCACCATCTGTTTTGTATCAGAAGCTAATGCAGCAGATAGGTGTAGAAGACTATTTTCATGTTCAGCCTGCATGAAAAACTCTGACTTATGGATTATAATCACGAATAAGATTTAGAAAATATGTTTTTCAGTGTTCCACACCTTTAACCTCTTGGTGGCTCTATGCACAAGTGGTGGTGTGAGTGT